CGATGCTGGCTGAATTGAAAAAAAGTCAGAATCCGAAAAACTTCGTATATGGGATTGAGTAGTTTCTATGGGCAAAGTAATATGAAAAGAAAGTTTTCGGTACTGACGGCCGCCAGCATCGCCACCCTCCTTAATCCGTCTCTGACTAAAAAATTGAAGTTGCTCCGTTATATTACCTGACATGGATTAACGAAACATCGTACTACATTACATTTTTTTGATTTAACAAACGACGCTGGAATCAGGAACGGAAACGATGTATAATTCAAAAATTTATTAAGTGAGAAAAGTATTATTCTTACTCGATAACAATAAGAAACCAAATAAAAACGTGAAAAACAAGCTAAATTTCATTATTAAGAAGAATGTCAAGGAAATCTGGAATTATTGAGGGAAATCAAATATGACTAAAATGCAAATTTTTAATTGTATGAGATATCGACATTTATTAAAAAAAATTAGAGACAACTGTTATTATTTATCACATAATAATTTTCTATCATACGAAAAGGCATTTGTTCATTCATTTTGGTTTTGGGAGTGGAGAAAACCTTGGTAACATAATAAAGAATTGCATGTATCTGTTGGTTTTGTATTTTCCTACATATATAGAATTATTGTATGTTTACAGAGAGAGTAGAAACGATACTGTAGAAATATACCAGTCAATGAAGAGTTAGATAGAAACCTCTTCTAGAGATAGAGAAAGAAGTGAATCGGCTGGCTGCTGGATAACTCGAAAAACTTTTTTTTTCAATGGCGGCCTGAAAATCCTTCATCAGCGCAGCATTGGCACGGCTTCAGTCGATCGCTTTACATCTCTAGTTAGAACATACTTTCTTTTGTTCCTTTGTTCATTGAGAGTTTTTCTTTCCTTTTTTTATCTCTCTCGTTGCTATCACATAGTTTATAGTTAGATTCGACTATTTTTTTGCCTTTTTTATCTCCCATCATTCGAAGGTCTTGTTGACCTCTTTTGTTATCTTTTTTTCGATATTCGTCCGTCCGTATCGCGGAATTTAGTTAGAGTCCCCTTTTATCCTGTTTTCACCTTTATGTTTATCGCTGATTTTCACTTATTTATACTGCATTTTTTACATCGTTTTGGAATAGCACAAACTTGCCAGTAACAACATGTTTGTTTTTACAGCATTGTTCCATGATCTGTCGATTTGTTTTTGTTCGCTTTCTCCTTGTTGACCTTTGCTTTTAAGAGAAACGACAATACTTTCAACGAAACCGAACTAACAATTTTGTTTATGTAGAGTGCTTGGACAGATCAAGAGTTTTCGATAGTTGAATAGAGTAAAATGTGATTATCAGAAAGATGATGTATCCGGCCCATTCATCCCTCAGGGAGAAAAATATCACTTTTCAAAAATCTAGATCAAAATATATGAAGTCATATGCAAAAATAATGAAACAAACGCTGCAGTACCCAGGTCGAAGAATCGTACGAGCGGATCGTACAAGATCGGATATGATCAGATATGATTGTATTGTATGATCGTACACGAACAGGTATGTTCTAGAATAATCGCACAAATTTATACATACGAAATGTTATGATCGACGTCCGAATCGTGGTCCTTGAAAAGTCACAAGGTCCAGACTACACATTTCGTACAACAATCGTACGCACGATATTGCGCGATCTGATCTGATCCTGAGATCTTACGTACGAAACAGTAAGATTACATAAGGTTTAGAAAAAGAGTCGCTGTAAAAATATTTCAGTTCATTGGATAAATCACATCAAAACAGAAAAATAGAATTTAAAAATAAAAATAACATAAAGGAGTAGGACGGATAAGGCCCTTTTCTGGTCCACAAAATTTTCGTTAATTAATTTTTGTATGTTACACTTTTACGTGCTGGTTTTGGCCTAAACTGTCAAAATAAGTCATCTTATGTGGCAACCATTTCAGAAAACTGAGTTTTAAGAAAATTAATTTTTCCATTTTCCTGAGGAGGGATTTTTGGTGAAAAGTGATAGTAATGGAAAACACATGAGATATATATTCGGCTCTATTTTTCACGCTCATTCCGAATATAGCCTTCGCTTTTGTCTGAAATGTTGGTTTAGTCGCGAAATTCAGGAAATACCACCGAAAACCTGTTGAAAATCACTTAAATCGCGTTTTCTGCCCTGTTGTACAAGTGTTTCCTTTTCTTTTTTAGTACCAGCGGATAGAGCGTGAAAAGTTTCATATTGGATAAAAAATTGACGAGGTGCGTGGATTTCTGTCTGGATCATCTAGGGCGAATACTGTCAGAAAACACGATTTTCATAAATTTTGGCCGATTTTCAAAAACGTTTGAGCTTTTCTAATTTTTCTAATTTTATATTTGGATTCGGCATAAAATTCTACATCTGAATCACTATCTATTTTAGTTTTTCGATGCTTCCTCGGCTAGGGGACCTCGACATACCCTTTTTGGCGGAAAACAAGAAAACTGAGGTAAATTGGAGATTACGCCTTATCAAACCATTTCGGACACTTCTAATACGGATATTCATGATCAATGTGGTCGATTACATATTACCAAGTGAGTTTGGAAAAAATCAAAAATGAAAAGTTCTACAGAAATCCTGGAGGGGATCTCAGGCCTCAAAAATCTGTCGCGAAACTAAGTGTCTAGAAATGTTCCTGAGCATCCCCTGACATGGTTCAATACAAAAAAAACGAAAATTTTGAGGGCCAGGAAAGGGTCTTATCCGCCCTACTCCTTTGTTAAAAAGGCAAATCAACAAATAGAGCATTACAAAAGAAATGTGAATTGAGATGAAAAAATGTGCTTATTTCGTAAACAAAAGTTATGAAAAGCCGAAAAAAGAGTAAGTCTGAAAAAATGGGTCGCAAGACGCATTTTTTGGAGGAAATTCTCCAGCAGGTAGTTTTCTCTTTTATACGCTGCTATGATTCCCGCAGTTCTGACGTACCCCAACCCAACTTTCGAAAGTACACTTACGCGGAGCTTCGAGCGCAAATATTGTCATCAAACTAACAAAATTTCTATAAACATAACGCTCAAGTCAAAAACTCACAGACAGTAAAGAGAAAGGCTTCCTTCGGACCCTAGTCTTCTGAATCAGTGCTGTTTTCTTCTGGATTCTGAGTGTCACACTATAACTGTGTTATCAAATAATCAGAATTCAATTTAAAGAAAGACCAGAAACAAATAAATGAGTTGAGCATCGCACGACATCACGAGGATAGTAGATGATACTGCTATGCAGCTAATAATTAGTGCTATGAACGTGAAGCGTGAAAATGTTATGAAACTAAAGTAAATTTTCTGCAGCAATATACCTCTAACACTAAACAAGTCATTTGAATTCGAAATTGAGCTTTTTTTAACATTTCAAGTATAAATCGCAGCAAAAGCAAAAAAATGATCTAAAGAGTACGATTTCAACTCAGCTCATATGAAATCGTACGACACGATCACGTACAATTATTATGAAGCGCTTTTGTGCGAAGAGAATTTTCTGCTCTACAAAATCCATTACCTTATTTCATTACATATTATTTCATTATTTTAAAAGAGTGCAGAGTACTGACCGGTAACTGATACGGTAATAACTGCTATGGAAAGAACAGGTTATAATTATTTTTGTACTTGACCTAATTGATTATTTAATAACGCTTCTATTAGCTATTCATCACAGGTACTTTGTGTAAAGAATTCGTCTTCATTTAATTAATCCGCATTGGGAAATAATATTTCTCCTAAGATTTTGTCACTAAGAACGGATGATTCTGAAATGATGGGGTTATTCATGTATCTATTTTTATCTATATCCCGTTATGGTTCCGAGACTTCGTTCTGACTTCAGAAGATAGAAAATTTTCTGCTCTGCAAAACCCTATAACGCACATTTTCACTGCGTTGTTGGGCTAGTCCCTTTTCTGCTTTTTTCAAAGTCCCACATTACCCGAAAGTACAGATTAACTTGTACACTGAAAGCTTCACAATTTGAGTGACCAAATGAATAAGTAGCGTAGATTGGACGATAGCGCTCAACATTTTTATATCACTTTCTCTTAATTACCACATTATTTCTCGAAAAGTTACACAAAAAGGAAAAGTCACCAAAATTTTGATAGGAAATCGCAGTTATACTTTTTACCTGTTCCTACTCTGCACAATTTTGTAAAATAATGGAATAATATGTAATGAAAGAAGGTAATGGATTTGGATAATGGAATACTTCGACTAGTCGTTTGAAAAAGTACGTCTGCATAGAGCTAATTTTCTTCAAACACTTCAACGATACTTATAAATCTTTTTCGTATGATTGTTTTCAGAGCAATCATTTTTTCTCAAGTCAAAGGATTAATCTTGTTGTTATCCGTTATAATAAGATTTTCTTTGGTTCTTTTATTTTTTTATTTCGTTTGTTGCAGCGCAACAGTATAGACTACAAAAGTATAGGTAGTATCACAAAAACACACACACACCACCCAAAACAAAAAATATATATCAAATACTATTTCTAGCGTAAAGAGTTTCTTTTGTTTTTCTTGTATATACACATGCGTTTTGGGGATGCTTGGGGATGATCTCTTTTAAAATATTATAGACACGTAACAAGCAAAACAGAAAAAATGAAAAAAAACAAAAAATATCAAAAAAATAACAAGACATTTAAGCACAGACACAAAAAAAAAATGCAAATCAAAAACAATACACTGTTGACAAAGAAAAAGAAAAAAGTTCATTAACTAGACAGGCAACAGTTATACACAAAATTCTTACCTAACCTAAAGAGCAAATGCATGAAATAAATATCTGTTCATAATAATAAAAACGACACAATAAAGATAAAAGTTAAGATTCGTTTTATATAACAACAATACATGAAACTAAGTGTTTCATAGACGAATCATGATAAACAATAGCACAGTAGAAAAAAAGAGAAAAGTCGAAAGAAGTTGAAAAATGAAAGAAAATGATGCAATGTTTTATTTGTTTGTCATTGTCGTCAATAGTGTTTAGACATACCACATTGTGTCCTGTATCGATGGATCAAATTGCATTATTTTTGTTTGAACATCCTCCAACGATACAGTAACATTTTCATCTATTTCATCGACCATATCTGAATCACTAAAATAATATTAAAAAATGATTATCTGCTTGATCTCTTATAAATTGAGAATACATACCCTCCAACGCTGCTACGACTGGCTTCATAATCTGAATCATGTGAACGATACATTGCTAGTTGAGCATAATGAACTGGTGCTACAAAAAACAGCAGATTTGAACAACATTCGAGGATCCTTGAATTTATCTTCGTGCGTGTTCAGATTTTGGTCGAAATATCAGTTTTCTTACTGTAATCGAACTTTTCGCGCAAAATATTCGACTGCCTCTACAAGTTTTGTTACACTTTCTAATAGAAACAGCTCTCTTACCTGGAACAGACACGGATTTGGTACAACGAACATCTGTATGACACAAATAGTACGTCAATTGCTGAATTTCATCGCTGCTGAATCCAATTTCATCGTATAAAACATGATAAAGTACCGGACGACTAGTACCTTGACAAAAAGAAAGACGATTGTTTCTAAACTTATATACACCTAAAACTTTTTTTCTTCACGTACCTTGAATAGCAGCGTGTGAATTTAGGAAGAAATCAAATTGTGTAGGATGAGTTACTGTTGAATCGACAACAGTACCTTAAAATAATAATTAAAAAGGTATAAACGAATAGTTTTCATTCTAATGGAAGGCTTAATTACCAGGTTGAACATTATCGGTTCGATTTTGACGTGCATCATAGACAAAAAATCTCGTATTATGACGTTTTCTAATCGCAATAAATGTAATTTTTGGTGGCGGATTATGACCATATAGTGCTAAATTAAAACAAGGTACGCATAATTCGCAATTAAACATACTTCTTCAATCAGTTTCTTAGTTAAAAATTTACCTTCGAAAATTCATATCGTAGATTCGTGACTATATTTTAGTAAAAAGAAAAAGTTTTCATCTCTCTTAGGTCAGGAGCTATTGATATTATACGGAAAAGAAATATATCGCTTATATCTCATCAACCCATCCAGTAAAAGAGGACCAAACTCGGTGGAAGTTCCTAGCTAATATGGTTCTGGGGTTACAAGGTGTTGCTACTTTTGCGGAGTACTGTTCAAAAAACATTTTAAAAAAGTCCTCTACAAAAAAATATTATATCGGCACTGGTTGTGCACGGGTGCACACCGATGCTGAATAATTTTTGGGCGGCACCGGGGTGCCAGAAAAAATGTAAAAATCTCGCACCGGTGCGCACCAGTGTCAAAAAGAATGAAAAATCTCGCACCGGTGCGCACAAGTGCCGAAGTTTTGTTTTCAATCACCATTTTGTTTTGTCAATTTCTGTCTATATTAACGCTAGCCTACTTCTAATATTTCGAATATCTTTCTAACTTCACCTTTTCCTTCTCATAAGAGAAGTGCCGAGGCAATGTCGCATAGTTTTGGCATGTCGATGTGGTACTGATCAGTGCCGCACTCTAATACAAAATTCAGCATAAACAACCATAATAAAGAACTAATTAAATTGATTAAATAAATTATCAGTGCGGCACCGATTTTTGTCAGTGCAGCGCTCTTTCGGCAGAAATATATCGGCACTGGTTCGGCACTTGCTGGGTACGGGTGCCAGGCAGTGACCGATGGCATGCCATGCGCACCGGTGCGCACTGGAATTTTTTTTATAGGGTCATTTATCCTTAATTTGTAAATATTAAAAAGACTTTAATCTAAGCTTTGCAATTTAAAATAACTAATCTTAGAAAAGAAACGTTTCTAAAATGTCAGTCCGCAGAGCGTAAAAAATTAACAAAACGCAGGGTTTTCCTATATTCGACAATAAGAGCGTAGGTAGTTTCCCAGGAACTTCACAAAAGTCTGTGGAAGTAGAGTAGATTTATAATACTTTTTTTGTTGATAATTTTCAAGCATCAGATGTGATTTAGTATCAACGAGATAAGAGTATCAGTTCAAGAAGAGTTTAAAGATTTTTAAATGGTTCTTGTTTGGAGTTTTTAATCAGTTTTTTCAACTGTTTCTAATAAAGGTAGTCAGCATTACAGAATATAAACGAACATCTAGAAAGACTTATTGGAAAACTTTGAGACACCTTAGGAAAAATAAAGCATGTGGAGAATTATACATACCTTTACAGGCATTTTTCAATGCTCGAACTTCATTGTCCAACACTTTATGAAAATGACCATCATCGACGCTGCAAAAAAATATGAAAAACTTTCAGTCAGAAGTTTTTGGTTTTCTCTAAGGTTTCATCTTACCCATTACGATAGAAAACGATTTTTGTAGGTAAACGCCCATTTGATGTGGCAAATATTTTCAGCAAATCGGTGGCAATTCCATATAAATCTTTGATAATTTCGAGAGCAATTTTTCCTTTTGATGGAAATTGTTCAACAATACGACATGCATATTGTGTACCTAACAGCAAAAAAATATTTAAATAGAAAAGATGAATAAAAGCTAGGAGACAATAATCCTCCTTTAAGTAAAAGGAGTGTTTGACCAGTTCATTACATCTGTCTCGCACTACTTATCGAAGCCCTTACTTTCTACTAAGAGAAGCTGTTTTATTGAAAGAAATTCCCTTTTCCTTCTCAAGTGTGTGTTAAAAAAAACAATTCTTACTTGTTGAGTCTCGACTACCAAGGACGGCTGCCACACTTGGTTTTTCACGTGAACATGTGATATGTGTAACATCAGCACCTACATTGAAAGCAAAGACTTATAGCTGGAATATTATTTACAATGAGCGTGACTTACCAAAGAACATAAATACATCATCTCGTGTATTTGCCGATGTTAATGCACGTGTTAATGCAACTACTTGATTCATACCGCCTAATTTTGCATTGAATTTTTGTACCAAATTATTCAAATACATATCAAGTTTTCCAATATTTTTTTGAATAGCTGGAAAAGACGTACCTGAAAACAACAATCAAATATTATAGACAGTCTAATATATAACTGTCCTTTTTATTTTGATCATGCGTTGTGAAAGCATTTTTAAGCATATGCCACAACACATCGTCTCCATAGTCGAGACATTTTTCATCCAGGATCATTCAAATTTCACAAGGGTATACACGTTCAGTTATAATAACATATCAAAATAATATATTTCAAAAACAATTTTCTTTTCTTGATGTAACTTACATTGTGTAACAATACCGAGTTTTTGGTTTCCAAAATATTTGATAGCTTTATAAATATCTTCACCACAATTATTGAGAATAAACACAACAACTTCACATTTTCGTTCTTTCAATTCTTCTAAACGACGTAATATCACATTTGGTACAGCTGGGTCAGATTTTTGTATTGCAGCCGATAGGAATCGAACTCCAAATTTTTCAATTATCTAAAGAAAGTGAAAACAATCAACAATGGTGCAGAGAAAATGAGCAGTTCCGAAGTCTTAAATGTAGAATCGCTCTTACATCATTTGATTTGAAAATACCTAATAATAGTCACCTTTTAAGGCCATACTAAGAGCGAACTAACTTCGTATTTCTCACAAAAAAACTGAACATACTTGTGGAAAGCGTTGTGCAAATTGTGCTGCTACATCCATTTCACGATTTTGTGGTTCTCTTTGAGATACGAGTATACAAGCCCAGGATTTAATTTCTCGTGTTTTTGTTAGACGATTTCGTAAATTCCATTTACCAAAATTCACACGTTCGACTGCGTCGCTATTATCACGCGCTGAACGATATTTAATATCTGGGGCTGGCAATACTCTCGCCGGTATTTGCATCATGTCTATAAGAAAAAAAGTCGAATATTAGAAATTAAATCAATTTCGATAGTGACAATCCTTTTCAAGCTTGCCTCGATGCTCGACTTGCATTCCAATTTGTTTCAAATAAACATCATCGTCAAATCGGCGATCCTGAACAACACGCATAATTGTATCATATCGACGATCCGGACGAATAACCGTCTTTTTTGTAACCTTGAAAATAAAAACAACTGCATTTATTGCCTGAGACAGAATCACTAAAATTTATTTATAGCTGTCCTCTACCCTATACAATTCATGCCACTGTACACTTAAGTGAACAAGATTCATGTTCCCGAGAACAGAGAAAATGGCTTTTTTTATAGAGCAGACGTGTTTTTTAATGTGAGATCTGTCAAAATAGTTTTCTACAGTTTATGGCTGACTCTAGAAAGATTTGTAGAAGTTGTAGGCTGCCGCGTGAATACGTTACGACAAAAAATAAGAGTAACTCTGTTGGAAATGTGCATTTTTCCATAAGTCGATACTGAGTTAAGCACATGGTGGTATAGCCCGATATATCCACTCTTACAATCATGCTGTTTTTACCAATAAGGATTTTTAAAGAAGTTTTGCAAACCTGTAAAACTGATTTTATTGAAATTCTGATATTATTAGAAGATATTGTCGAAGATGCTAGTTTGTGAGCGTTAGTTAGGAAACAAAAGGATTTCTGAAACGCCTGGACGAGATTTAGGTGAAAGATCTTTTCCATTAATAAAAAAAATTCAAAATTTTGGCTGTCCTACCAAACTGATAGTATTTTTCTGCGAAACGGGGAAAATTAACTGGTCCTTTTATTACAGTTGTGACGGCATTTCACGAACGGAGATGAAAGAAAAACAATTTTTTCACCATAATTTGACACGCTCAACTTTCTTTGGCCTGAATTATATTTGTAGTTATCGAAATAGATTTCTGGCAAAGGCACCCCTAAGTTCAATATGCTAAGGAACATTACTGAAGTCACGATGGTACAATGAGACTTTGTAAGGTACTTGTTCCTCATGGTGAGGGTAGTCCTAGAGCTGCTGGTGGTTTTAAATGAATCTAAACACTTAAATCTGTTTATCGTCGAAGACGTTTTTATCAGTTCGTTTCTGCTATGGAATTTAGCTTAAATTCCTAAGAAAAGTCTGTTTCCCCGTCAATAAAGTGTACGTTTCTGAGTAACGATTCGCAAATTACTCAGTCATCCTGTGGAAGTAGTTTACAGAGAATTTGGCTAACACAGACAGCATTGGCTCATCAACAAAATTTTGCATTGGGAATGATTGCTGTAGTCACTTTTCATATACCTCAAACAAAGAAAGAAAATTACTGAAATACACCTAGCTGTTCTTAGACTTAGAAGTACCTTCCTACAAAGAAAAAACACGGTTTTGAGAAGAGGGTAAAAGTAAGAACACTTGATTACTTACTCTTGAACGTTGTTCTGTTGTTAAAGGCTTCATTGATCGTTGCCATTCTTGTACAGTACATAATTCCATCGGCAGAAAATGACTTTGTGCTTTATTTCCCAAATTATACAATTCGACTGTTGGCAAATCTGGATAACGTAAGCGTGTATCATATTTTGTTTTGAAATAATCAGCGACAGAAATACGCTCACTATCAGCATGAGGATCATTTTCATCTTTACGATCTTTGGGAAATGTATGACGATTTGATGATTGACCAAAGCCTTTAACTGAAAAATAAAAAATAACAAAAATGAAAAAAAAAACTAAAGTAATATATATCAATATATATACTAAAGAAAGAACGAAAATTTACAATTTCGTTCATATTTGAGAGGAAATTAAGATTATCTCGCCCATTACAGAGTTACAAAAACTTTGTTATAAAAGGTTGATAAGCAAGCACAATAAGAAAACGGTACCGTTTACAGAAAGAAAAAACTTCTCTTCTTTACAACAATTACTTCGATATTTTCGGATCGGGCCTGTATGACGTGTTTCAACCCAGATTGGTTTTAAGATTTTTTTAATTAACAGCTGTTGTTCTCGTTCAGGGATTCCACGTTTAGTTATATCTTGTTGTAAATAATCGCTCACAAAACGAACAAGATCCATTCCATGATAGAAACACGTAAATGTTGCATTGATATTTAATGTGGGACCGCATTGTGTCAAAAACATTGCTTGATAAAATCCCTGTGCCAATCCACGACCATCACCTAAAGACCAAAAATAACTGCAGTGAGAATGAATGACTTTAGGGAGATTTTACGGGAATATTTCTAAAATACCAGAAGCAGAAGTTTGCTCATATAATCTACTCACATGCACTCTCGACGCTTATCTAATACTAGTCACCAGCCAAAGGATTGATCCGAAAATACTAAAGGCACATCTTTAGCATCTGTCTGTTTTCAACGTACCCAAATCGTCCAAACGTTGATTTCTATCATAAAATTGATTTTTGACACTAATCATTTGACATTTTTGTTGTTGTTTTAATAACGTTTCCAAAACACGAACAGGGTCATGTGGCTTGATCGGTGAACGTTTTTCAATAAAATCCCATATGTCCGAAATCGAATACGTTTTCACCAAATTTAATAGGATGAATTGGTATGTATTAGTTTTGTCATTATGCTTATTTTTCATTACAATTTCGTACGATTTGTTCAAAATGGCTGTTAAACTTTCTAATGAATACAAATTTTTTCCATCATCATACCAAACGAATGGAAACTTCTCACGTTCAATAATTTTTTGCATCACTAAAACACATTCAATTCAGCGAATAGTACAAGAAGAATTCTGCTATTCTCAAAATTATCAATTACCTGAACAGTCAAGTGAGAAACAGCACTCATTTTAGTACAGCACCTTTCGGCACCAAAAACTATTGATTAGTGTATCAGTAACATTCTCGCTTGGTAAGAATTCAAGATGGTGAATAGCGGGCATTCTTCCATAGAGCAGACGGACATGTGGTTTTTTTAGTTAAAAAATAATTATTTTCGCATAATATTGCTTAATTATCTCTCCAATATTAATATAATTAACAAAACTCAAAGTCGAAAAATCGCTGGAGGCCCCCTAGTGAATGTACTTGGCCGCTTCCGTGTTACCGCCGCAGTGTTACGGATCATAGGATTACGGCCAAATTAAGTCAAGCTAGAACCAAGGCCGTTCACTTTGTCCTCAAATTTTTCGTACGATTTCAAAGCGCATACATAGAAAGACAGAATTTTTTCGGGCTTCAAAATGAGTTACAATATTTTGGTAGACTGATTCCAAATATAGCATTAGTTTTCAATAAGTGTTTCTGAGTCCAGAAAACTTGATTTTACTCCAAAATCCAGTTTTTTTGGAAAATCCGTATCAAAGTTCAGTGGAAAACCGCATTCATAATGAATGCAGAACATGACCATGGACATTCTGGTATAATTTTGAATCAGATCCGATCTGCGTTAACTAGCGACCTTTTTACATTCTAAGTATCTGAACGGAACGACTAGTTCGGGAATTCATTTTTTTCTCCCAGATCAGTGATAATATTTTCATTGGTAGATACCTGAGTGTATGTAGATTCGGAATAGGTACTGTTTACAACAATTCACTTTAAAACATGTTTTTTCTCGCACTAGTATTTAGGCTATTTTTTGCTCACACATTTTTCCTACCACTGGGCACTTGGAACAAGAAATTTTACACTACTAGATAACTCGTATATCGAAGTATAGTAGATACTATTTGAATCTTGAAAAAATTCACCTTCAGTTTTCATCACATGTTCGCCTGGATGCCCACTGGGTAGCAGATGAGTAAAAGGATCGTATTCTATCCCAAACTTTTTGTTTTATTATTTTGCTTCCGTTTAAAACAAAAATAAAGTATTACCCTTTTAGCAGTGTGATGCAGATGCATTACAACGAATTTGAATCAGAAAGTGTTCACAAAGAACACTTTGTATACTTCTTGTCTATTGAATTAAATCGATCATCTTTTTTTTTATACAGAAAAAAGAAATAAAAGAAGGTAAAAGCGCCTGGGCAATGTGTGACTCGATCCCACCACCTAATGTTTCCAGCACTAAATATTGTCGTTCCCTCCCCCCCCCCCCTAAATTTTCTTCAGGTAAAATCACTTACCCGCAAAGCGATCTTCTTTCTTCGCTGAACGCCATGAATCATCACGCATTTTAAATTCAACGTCCATATCATATTGATTCACTAACAGCTGCTTAGGTAATGTACATTTAAAATGATTTACATGAAATTGAACCGCTTGACCAGCTGAATACAGAAAAAGCAAAAATATCTCATAAGGATTATGTAACTATGAAACAGCATTTTATACTTTTTCAGCGATGGAGAACTGCAACCGATGAAATGTGGATTTTCTAGCTGGTCAAAAACTTACACGGCATAGAATTGTGTAACTAACATAAACATGCCTGAGACTAATCACAAACTGCCTGAGAGCGCTTTTCTATTTCACTAAAATTTTAAACAGCCGTAGACTAATTTCTAGAACTACAGTTGGAAATTTTCACCAAATCCGTATATAAATAGAAAATGATTTAGTCCAAAATTTCTCTACTTACCTTTTCCACCGGCATCTGGTCTTTTCGCCAACGTTAAATTGTGTGTCTCCGGTATAGCTGAACGAATAACAGGACGCAGTGATTTTGCACGAGATGTAAGACGTGATTTTGAAGCAGTTGATAAATTTGGTAAATCCATGACGAGGGATGATGAACGTCTATAACGATCTGGCGAATCATCTCGATTTATGCGTGCTAAAACAGATAGAAATTGTAGTGCCTTCTTGCACAAAATATCAATATATATGTGGAATTTTCTGCAACCCGTTCAAGTTTTGTTAACTAAAACAGAGCATATCACAAACTGCTCATTTTTTTTCTTTTTTCACTTTACATTGGTGTAATTAATGGATAACAGTTAGAACTTTACTGAATTCGATTAAAACAAACATAATTGTAACTTACTTCGTTTTGATGGATTATCGAAATCATCTTCGTCTAAAAAGGAAAGACAAACGTAATGTATGATAACACGCCTTCTCTATCACCGACAACGGCAGTAGTTCTTCGGGATCTGTTACCTCTTGGATTCCTTTGTTTAGTTGACATGTTGACTTGAATACCACTGTAAAATTGACGATAATATGTTCAATTAGTTAAAAAGAATAACAAGATGGATAACACGAGAAAATTATTAATCTGAAAAAGAGTAAATTGAAATAATAATCAAGTGGAAAAAAGCTTCCAAATTCATCAGTATTTCTAATAAAATATCGAAAGAGTCGTTGCTGCTTGCCGATATATGCTGAACTTATTGTCTGTATCTAAAGATAAATGCGCATAAAAAGCACGTGCTTTGCGGTTAAAAATGTGTCTATCTACGTCTTTTGAATATATATATTCATATTCTAACTTGTTGAATTCGCCCAACTTGATGCTATACAATGAATATATCACGCGAAAGTCAACAGGCATGTATAACAAAAAAAGGAAGTGAGGAGAGCATGGTCTTAGCGAAGAAAAGAAAGAATAAAAGAAAACCTATGTACATTTAGTCTACTGATATTGTTTCAACTGGACTAAAGAAGAAAGATAAGGATCTATAATATTAAACTAGTATGTAACAATAAAATGATTTTTAAATAAACAATTCTTTGAACTAAGGCTATACTACTAGAAAGTAACTCGGCATACTTCGTCTCATATACAAAAAACGAAATTTTTAGTATAGACTACTAAGTACGGTGAATAAAAAATTGTCCAGAAACTAACTATTGACGCTTTTCTCCAGATGAATTGCTGAAGTACATTGTCGGTTAAAAGAAGAAGAAAGATAAGGTTTATTCACCAAAAAAAGTGAGAGACGGCCAAAGGTTCTCTGACCTGTAACATCATAACTCCCGCCAAATACATAGAGAGATAAAAAATAAAATATTAACTGGGAAAGAAAGAAAAAACGAAAGAAAAGGCAAACTATATAAAACGAATAATTAAAATCAAAAAATTTGATTGGAATGACGAGATACTTGGAATGATAACATATGTGTATATACAAAGATAGTGAGGATATTGAACCAAATAAAAGATATAAAGAGGGCTGAAATGATGATAAATTTTAAACAATTGAACAGTCTAAAATATTTGCGATGAAGAAAAAGATATATCATAGAGATAGTTGAGATACAAGAGAAGAAATAGAAACACGACAGTCAAATTTATGAGAAACAACATTAGGAGCAAGTCTGTCGACAATAGTAAGGAAAACGACCTGTCATAAAGGGCATAGTACAACCCTGCAGGTTAAACCTAACCTAACTTTTTTTAGATAGGTTACGCCATTGATAATCTATTTTTAACCTAAACGAAACTAACCGATTTTGAACGACCACATTAAAACAGCCCACACTGAGTAATAAAGCGTAGTCCGAGTGGAATTTTATCGATGTAGGATGAAGTTCAGACTGAGGTTCTCTAGTTTAAACTGAACTATTTTTAAACTGAAAAACAGCATAATCATCAAAACATTTTTTGCAGATGGTTTGGTATATATTTTTTCTGTCATGTTGTTCTGAATTACTTAGCAAGCTCTGATTTGCACATAGATAGATAGCTAGTTTGAGGTGCTCTTCTTCCCATGCAGGCAAAAGTAAATTTTCAAAGTTAGATTAAATGGGTATAAAATCGCTCACAAAATAAGCGCAGAACGCCTTTTTAAGAAAATAAAACAAAATTTGGCATCTAAACGTCAAAACAAATGAGCTCTTTGGTAGAGGATTTGATTCTCTATCCGACAGTATAGTTTTTAGAATTTTTAGAAAAAATATCTAGGTCAGAAATTAAATTTAAAAGATTTTATAGGTTTAATACTAGACTTTTTCATAAACCGCCGCTATACCAGTGGAACCCTTGTTCATGTTTTTCTACTAAACTAAAGAGGATCTCTAATCATTCGATACGCCGTGAAAAGCTCTGCAACGTGTGTTAATAGGAAGGTTAACGAGACCTGGAAGCAGGTTTTATGAGCTTAATGCTAGATTTTTCCATTAGTTGCGGGTACGCCGATGCAACTCTTGACCACTTCTTTTTTGTTATGGGTTAAACAATAACGGTATGAAACGAAGCTGTTTAGGCTTCTGAAACCAGGCTTTGCGAAAAAATTGCACAAGGTTGTATCAGATTAACCTAGGTTAGGTTATACCAAACACCGCCGCCAAGCTTCGTTAAGTTTCTTATTAACACATCTTCTAGAACGTTTTACGGCGCATCGAACGATGTATGAATGATCATAGATCATCTGTAGTTTCACAGAGAAAAGTGGTCAAGAGTTGCATCGGCGTACCCGCAACCAGTGGAAAAATCTAGTATTAAGCTCATAAAACCTGCTGCCAGGTCTCGTTAACCTTCCTATTAACACATCTTGTAGAGCTTTTCACGGCGCATCGAATGATGTATGAATGATTAGAGATCATCTTTAGTTTCACAGAGAAAAGTGAGTAAGAGTTCCATTGGCATAGTAGCGACCTATTGAAAAGTCTAGTGTTAATAAAACCTGTTGTCAGGGTTCGTTAAGTTTCCAATTAACACATCTTGTAGACCTTCTCAAGGCGCATCGAATGATGTATGAATGATTAGAGATTCTCTTTAGTTTCATAGAAAAACATGAACAAGAATTTCCGTTGGCATAGCGACGATTTATAAAAAGGTCTAGGATTAAAAAAGCCCATAAAATCTGCTGCCAGGTCTCATTAACCTTCTATTAATATATCTTGTAGAGCTTTTCACGGTACGTCGAATGATGAATTGCACTAGGCCTAATATTCGATGGTTACGGAGAATATTTGATTTTTCAGTTATATTGTTGGTGCTAAATCTTTGCTTGTTTTGCAGTAGATTCTGTCGGGTATATTCGACTGAAAGCGCTCGGAAGGGTCGGGATTATGGAATATGATCATCGGATGTGATTCTGATGAGTTTTATACCGATTGGAGGGGCTAAAGTTAGTGGGCCGACTCTCATTTTATGCGGACTCCACCTTTAAAAATTTAAATTTTAACCACGAAGATTTGACTTTCATTTGTTTTTGTGTCCAGATTTGTAATCACCGTGAAAAACTGCATCTAATGCATTTTTAAGCTTTGCTCAAGTTAAAACAAAAATTTGAATCTTCTCATCCGAAGGTGGACCGTTAGCTGGCCACTCCGTCAACCGATTCATTTCTATATTCATGTAAAATGTGATTTATTTTGTATAAGCTTACCTTTCAGACGGTGTTTAGATAAAAAACAATAACGATATGGAACAAAGCTGAAGTTTAGGCTTCTGAAACCAGGTTCTGGGGAAAAATTGCACAAGGTTGTGTCAGATTAACCTATTGGTTATATTACGAAAAACATTAATAGGTTAGGTTAGGTTTAGGTTATAAAAACTTTTATAGGTTAGGTTATAGGTTGTCAAAAAGTCGTAACCTGCACAGTAATCTAGGGCATAGTAATAGTCAAATTTTGGAAGAATCGAAGAAAACTAGGACGAGAAATGGTTTCTGCAAGAAAATGGCCCAATATGATTTTGAGTGAAAACAATCGGAAATGCTTCCTTTTTCACTTATCAACACTTCTTATTTTCAAAACTGCTCTTGATCTCCTTGAAAAAGTATTTCTTATCATTTTTCGTCGCCAGTTCAGCAAAGGCCATTCACTTTATTCCTCAAATTTTTCCTACGATTTCAAAGCCCATACATAGAACATGTAACATGTGAACAACCAGGAACAACGATCTTTCTGAATTTCTGAATACAAAAATCGAAACGTTTAAAAACAAGTTATTTTTGAATTTTTGTATTTGAATTGAAAAACAAATAAAAAGTGTCTCTCAATTGTTGACTTCCTCAATTCTCGGATATTTCTCAAAAGGTGATTCCAAATTCTGAATCCTTGAATTGAGAAAAAGCTTGATGTATCTTTCCGAATTTTTTCTGCTACTTCTGAATTCGTCGGATGGCTAGAAATTTCTGAAGTTGAAAAAAAAGTCGATGCTAATTCTTGAATTCTTTCTGCTAATCTTGAAAATTTTATTAATATAAAATCGGAATATCTATCCAGTATTTAGCCAATATAAGAGCAAACTGTTAAAACAAAATATTGTAACTCATTTTGAAGCCCAAAAAAGTCTCTATCTTTCTATGTATGGGCTTTGAAATCGTAGGAAAAATTTGAGGAATAAAGTGAATGGCCTTTGTTGAACTGGCGACGAAAAATGATAAGAAATACTTTTTCAAGGAGATCAAGTGCAGTTTTTGAAAATCAGAAGTGTTGAGAAGTGAAAAAGGAAGCATTTCCCATTGTTTTCACTCAAAATCATATTGGGTCATTTTCTGCAGAAACCATTTTTCAGCATTCCGACGCCGAACTTCTGATAGGGCTAATTCAAAGACACAACTCAATGCTTCCAGCTTGCGCTAACAAGTAAGAGCATATAGTCATTCCACATCCGGACATCCTTCTACAGAGACTAAGCTGAATGCCAATTATAGTTGTGACTTTCGTCACACCTGTTATTTAATGGAAGTTTTCTACTGCTGTATCATAGTTCATGTAGAATAAAATTCAGCTGAAAAGCAAAGAATGCCACAATAGAGACTGTATTTATTTTTCTGCCGAGATAATCGTTTCGTAATTTGTCTTGCTCCCACTGTGTTGTCGTTGTGGTGTGAAGCTCAGACGTTGGCAATGCATTGTCAACAGTTCTTTTACTATTTTTTATTAGTATTATTTAGAAATTAAGGGTAAAAGTTCTCACATTTCTGCCCGATGGCAACGCTGATAAACTTTTTCCATCGGCCTTGTGAAGTCTCGAGGAACGTTACAACGTGACAAGAATTTGCATGTTTTTCTGAGATGTTATAAAATCGTATAACATGAAAATACCTTAAAACAGCCAACTGCGTTGCAAGAGTTTCCAAGATTATGTAAGATCATATGATTTGCCATTTCATGATCGTGTAAGATCTTGTTCCTTATAGCATGTAATTACCCAGATCATTTATACTGGTTTGTTGACGCGTCACCCAGAAAAACGGCCCGTTGGTGGTGTAAAAACGGTATAAGGTCGTGTTAACGTTTCCGTAAACTGCCCATTTCAAGAACATTAATTAGTGCTCTGGAACCGGACCATTCACTGAAGTGACTGAATGGAGTTCATATTCAATTTCGTTAACGGCCTCTGTTTTTAGGCCGTTTGTCGACAATCCATTCACACCTTCCCTTTTGCTATCACAAGCAGTTTACATATAACGCTGATTTTCTTCGAATAACTCGAATTTTTTCAATGCTCCTATATACAAGATAACGAACTTGATTAGTTGTACTTGGGCTTGATACTAGAAATAGTGCCTTGGTGCTAAAAATAGAGCCAAAAAATAACTAAAAAATGGCAAAACGCTATTTCGGGCGGAAAAAGTTAAAAATAAAACATCTTAGTGCAAGGGTCCGTTAACGGTTAATAAACAGTCTGGAAAAAAGCGTGTAAATGGACGTCGTCGTAAGGCAGTTCCGTACTGAAGTTTCTTACGATCAAGATCTTGGGAGAAAAGTTTTTATATATTTTCTTCCCGTATATGACAGCCATGGACATTGAACATACGACTGTATATATTCGTAGACTTATCCTTGAAAAAAAACTTAGAAGTTAAAGTAAGTATAATTTTCG